AGGTAGCATCTCCCCTCCATCCCCCAGCAGACCCCTGATCCCATACAGTCTTCTGGACCCTAAAATCCCCATGGTAGCCCCTCCATCCTGACTCACCTCATATCAGACAGTCATTCTGAATTTACTTAACCTCCCTGTAATTCCCCTGAATGTCTGTACTTAGCCTTAGAGAAAATGGTATCTTCTTGGACTGTGAGCTGTTTAAGACAGGCTGGGGACAGAACCATTAATCACTGCTGAGCTACTAATCCTAGTTTCATAAAATTAGTAACCTAAGATAACAGATAACTGAGGAAAAAGCTAAAGGACACAATCCTTGAAGCACAAAGGAAGTCCATTCCCATGTAGCAAAAAGGTTGGGAAGCCCTCTTGGTTAAACAGGGAAATCATGGTCCTCTTAAGAAAGAAGAAAGAGATGTGCAGTCAATGGAAGCTAGGGACAGCCCCAAGGAGGACTATATAGCAATGGCCCGCACTTATAGGGAACAGATTAGAAAAGCTAAGGCAATGACTGAACTAAAATCAGCAAAAGGAATCAAGAACAACAAGAAATCCTTCTTTAGGTACATAGGGAACACGAGGAAAATGAATGGGAGTGTGGGGCCATTGCTCTGACCCAAGTTGTCTTTCCTGCTTGGTGCAAGGGGCTGGACCCAATTGATCTTCAGAGATCCCTTCCGGCCTTACAATCTATGAATCTATAAGCAACCATTACTTACTTAACATTAAAATGCTGGGTGTATTTAGATCAAATCCAATAGAAAGAGAATGGAACTTTAATTTATTCCCCCCCAACCCCTTCCTTCCCCTCCACCCCTCTACCCTCCCACTAGCCTGGGGCTTTTTTTGAGAGCAATAAGACCTCCACTCTCTAAACAAAGACAGAATGTTGAGAAGTTCATTTACGAAGAAGCACTCATTTACATTCTCGTTGAAAGAAAGAGAAAGATCTGTAGATAACAAATGTATAATTCTAATAAATACAATTAACATTATAAGCTGTTAGATAATATAATGTCTTAGAGATCTTGATGGTACTCAAAAATTTAAGTTAATTCAATATTCATTTATTTATACACACACACACACACAAAATCACATAATACGAAGATATAATTTTATGTCTGGTTTATGGAGACATATGCAAAGCATTCAAGTTTTATTTTCATGGTTTAGAATATGACCAGACAATCATAATAAAAACAGAGCTTTATATTATGAAATTTAGCATAGTTTATTATCTCTACATTGATTTAATAAACTGCATATTAAGTCTATCAGATAACATGTGCATTTCCCATAAATGAGCATGTCTGCATATAGAGGGCTTTTACTAGCAGATACATATATTTAAATTAATAGAAATTAACCTGGTATTCTAAGCATATATAAAGACCTTAGAAAGGCATATCTAATTTAGAAAATGATATATCTAGTTAATAAGTAGCATGCAGCATATAATTCAATAGGTGATATTTCACTCAGCAGATGATATAAAATTTGTGGTGCTACAGCTGCACTTATAAAAGACATTTTTCTAGTGAGTGAGTGATTCATTTCTCTTTAGATGATTTACCCATATCAATATGAACTATATCAAACTTATAATATAATCATTTCAGTCAGTGACATATAAACTTTACAAGTAAGATGCTTTTCATAAAGTTATTTAGCACAGTGTATTATAGACATATTATTTCTGAATTTTGAATTGAATGGCACCTAATATTAGTCTTGTCTATATTCATTTATATTGCAAAGTTACCTTCTCAGGCAGTTACTTAGCAACAGAAAATAAAAGTCTAATGAGTTTTGATTTACTCTGAGTATTAAAGCCTTATTGTGAGGGTATTTTGGTAGCCCTGTAATCTAAAGCATTTGTCATGCTAATTCTATGCCCCAGTGGTAAGGCTACTTGTACCATAATTAATGCACACCAGGCCATGTTACATCAAATAGAAGTATCTTCACACATTCGGTGATAATTAGCAGCTCTGCTACTCAGTGGCATGC